AAATAAAAATTTTTTTATAATATGTATAAATAATTATATTAGATATAATACATAATATAAATGTATATTATAAATATACATTAATATATATTTTTTGTATAAATGTACAATATATAATATATAATAATATAATTTATATAATTTATATAGTATATAATATTTATATAAATATATTACAAATATATAAAAGTATTTTGTAAATAAAATAAAATATTTATAATATGTATAAATAAATATATAAATATTTAATATACATAATATACATTAATAATAATTATAAATATATAATATTATAAATATATAATATATACAATATACATTAATATTAATTATAAATATTCTAATATTATAAATATGGTGTTTATATAATATTTCAATTAATAATATTTATTGTATATTTCATTATATAAATATTTATATAATTTATAACTTATAAATATATTTCATTATATTAATTCCTGCTTATTAGAATACATGAATCTTTCTTTAATTAACAACTATTATGCATTTGATAATGATTTAATAATAATACAAAATTTAAGTAAAAAATCATGTTCTATTTACAATACAAAGGCATCTAGGGACATGAATAATGAGGTTAGGTGAATGTATTTATTTTAAAAATTAATAAATTTAAGTATATTTAGGATTATGGTTAAAATTTAGTTTAATCAGGTTATTTTGAAAATTAAATTAATGAAATTTATTTAGGATGGCTGTGAAATTCTAGTTTACTAAAATTATTATAAAAACTATATAAGCGACTATTTTGGCGGAGATTATACATAAATGAATAAAATAGAGTTAGAATACCATTTAAATTTTGTTCATGAGCTCACGCCAGGACCCTACCACTGTTACCTGTGGATGCCAATTTCTTTATTTCACAAGCATTCAAGGATTCCGGAATGACATCTGTTAGAGTTTAGTCAAATTTTGGATGTGACTAATGCTGTTCTTCCAATGCTCCGCCAAGTCAACTATGGAGTCTATAGCTGCCCCTATGATCCTTGTCCAGATTCCAGAAGGAAGAAATAATTATTAAATATGGTCGTGAAGTTTCCTCCCTTTGTGGTACAGTTTCGCTTTATGAACGCAGAAATGGAGACAGTCTGTTTCTCTGGCGCGGACGTGCCCAGTCAGCACGTCCGCGCCTGACATTTGCGCAGACCAGCGGTCTGTTTGCTCAGGTGCGGACGTGCCCAGTCAGCACGTCCGCACCTGACAGATGCGCACTGAATTTGCTGAAATTTGCAGACGGCTGACACTGCGCAACTGAATTTTTTATTTTGCGGCCGTGCTGAATCAGCACGGCCGCTATAGAACAAGACAACCCCAATGTCAGACGTGCATTTGACGGATTGTTTATTTTTGTACATATAATCTAAGAAATTAGCCACTAATCTCTCCTAATTTACACGATTTTATTACTCAATATTCTACTTCTCAAAAAATACAGATTTTCCCACACTCCCCCTCAAGCTGGTTTGAAGATATCTTTCATCACCAGCTTGCTCACTAACAAATCAAACTGTTTTTTGGGAAGACTCTTTGTAAGCAGATCTGTCACTTGGTCTCTAGTTGGCACATAGGTCATGCAGACTACACCTCCTTCTATTTTTTCTTTGATGAAGTGCTTATCTACTTCAACATGTTTCGTTCGGTCATGAAGAACTGGATTGTGAGCAATAGAAATAGCCGCTTTATTGTCACAATACAATTTCATAGGAAGTATTTCTGAAACCTTCAACTCCTGTAATATTCTTCTAATCCATATCACTTCACAAATACCTTGAGCAACAGCCTAGAACTCGGCTTCTGCACTGCTCCTTGCCACAACATTCTGCTTCTTACTTCTCTAAGTTACCAAATTACCTCCCACATACGTACAATACCCAGAAGTTGATCTTCTATCTGTTATACATCCAACCCAATCCGCATCGGTATAGGCTTCAACTTGAAGATGTCCTCATGCCTTAAAGAAAATACCTTTGCCAGGTGTTCCCTTTAGGTACCTTAGGATTCTATGAATTGTTTCAAAGTGCTCTGGGCCTGGTGAATGCATGAACTGACTAACAATACTTACTGGAAATGCTATGTCAGGCCGAGTGTGTGATAAATAAATAAGTCTTCCAACTAGTTTTTGAAACTTTTCTTTGTCTCTTACTTTCTCTACACTAGCTGGTTGAAGTTTCAAATTTGGCTCCATGGGAGTTTCAACTGGCCTGCATCCCATCATACATGTCTCTTTGAGCAAATCAAGCACTACTTCTTTTGACTTACAACAATTCCCTCCTTGGATCGTGCAAACTCCATCCCGAGAAAATACTTTAAGTTTCCCAAGTCCTTGATTTTGAATTCCTTGGCCAGAAACTTCTTTGAATTCTCTAATCCTCGATAATCATCCCCTGTTAAAATAATGTCATCGACGTATACAAATAAAATTGCAACTTTATTTTCTTTTGAATGCCTATAAAACAAAGTATGGTCAGCCTGACTTTGTAAGAAATCAAATTTTTTAACAGCTTTGCTGAAGCGTTCAAACCAAGCTCTTGGTGATTGTTTAAGTCCATAAAGAGATTTCTTCAGTTTGCAAACTTTTCCAACACCATATTTGTCTACAAAACCTGGAGGAAGACTCATAAACACCTCCTCTTCTAGGTCTCCATTAAGAAAGGCATTTTTCACATCAAGTTGGTACAATGGCCAATTTGCATTAATAGCAAGAGATAAAAGGACCCGAATAGAATTTATCTTGGCAACAGGGGCAAATGTTTCTTGATAATCTATTCCATGGGTTTGTGTAAAACCCTTCGCAACTAATCTGGCCTTGTACCTTTCTACAGTACCATCTGTTTTGCTTTTAACTGTAAACACCCATTTGCACCCAACAATCTTTTTCTCCCTAAGCAACTCCACCACATCCCATGTATCATTCTTCCTCAATGCTTCCATCTCTTCAAACACTGCAAATTTCCAGTTCTGATCATCCAACGCTTCTTTAATGTTTCTAGGAATCACAAGTTTTGAAATTTCAGTGGTAAAGGCTCTATATTTAGGGGAAAGGTTATCATAGGACACATATTTGGAAATTGGATGTCTAGTACAAGTACGGGGGGTTCCTTTTCTAATGGCAATGGGAAGATCAAGATCAGATTCTTGAGTAGGAAGGTTTAAAACTGGGTAAGATTCTGGAACAACAGAAGAAAAGAAAGGTGAAGTATTACTTGATGTATTTGGACAGACTTCCCTCTAGAACTTTTCATGAACAGGAGCTGGACTCATCAATGGACCTTCACCCTTTTTAAAAATATTTCTCCTAGTGTATACCACAGGCTCAAGATTGGAACGATTTTTTTCTCGTCGTAATATTTCCATATCTGATAAACCAATATCAGTTTCTGCACTATCAAATTGAGGGATCTTTGTTTCCTTATCTGTTTCAAAAATTATAGTTGGTAAAGCTTCAGTTTCCCAAAAATTTGATTCACTAGAATTCTCCCCCTGAATCAAAGATTTGTTAAAGAAAGGAAGACCTTCCAAAAAAGTTACATCCATAGTGACAAAGACTTTCCGTGTGAGAGGATTAAAGAATTTGTACCCTTTTTGATTTGGAGCATAACCAACAAAGACACATTTTTCGGCCCTAAGATCCAACTTGGACCGAGATTTCTTTGGAATATACACATAAGCAATGCATCCAAATATTTTTAAAGGCAAATCTGAATTAACTCTTGATTCAGGGAAATTTTTTTTAAAACACTCTAAAGGAGTACTATATTGTAAGACCTTGGAAGGCATCCTATTAATTAGGTATGATGCTGTTAAAACAGCATCCCCCCAAAAATATTTTGGTAAGTTCATATAAAACATCATGGCACGAGCGACTTCCAACAGATGTTTGTTTTTACGCTCGGCAATTCCATTTTATTCAGGGGTATCAGTGCAAGAAGACTGATGTAAGATCCCTTTTTCTTCAAAAAATGTTCCAAGGATACTATTATTGTACTCTGTTCCATTATCAGACCGCAAAATACTTGCTTTTGTTTGAAATTGATTTTCTATCATGTTATAGAAATTTTGAAAAATGGTTGCTACTTCTGACTTCTTATGCATAAAGTATACCCAACATAAACGAGTATGGTCGTCTATGAACGTTACAAACCACCTTTTTCCCGAAACAGTAGTAACCCTTGAGGGTCCCCAAACATCACTATGAAACAAATAAAATGGTTTTGATGGTAAATAAGGCCTTGGGTCATAAGATTTTCGTTGACTTTTAGCAAGCAAACAACTTTCACATTTCAGTTTCAGGGGATTCACATTCTTAAAAAGCAAAGGAAACAAATGTTTTAGATAAATAAAACTAGGATGGCCCAATCTGTAATGCCAAACCATTATTTGTTCATAAGCAGATACAGAAATATTACTACTAGACTCTTGAACAATTTGAGCACTAGGTGAATTATCCTCAAGACAGTAAAGGTCATTGATCATTCTAGCTCTGCCAATCGTCATCCTCGAATTCTTGTCCTGAAAAGCACAATGAGATTCATCGAAAATAGTCAAACAATTAGAATCTCTTGTTAGTTTACTAACTAATAAAAGATTGCTGGCCAATTTTGGAACATGAAGAACAGATTTCAGATTAATATTTTTTGAGATCTGTATTGAACCTTTTCCAGCAACAGGAGAGAAACCTCCATCTGCAACCTTGATCTTTTTATTTCCAGAACATGGTGTATATGATTGGAAGAGTTTAAATGAATTTGTCATATGGTCGGAGGCTCCAGAGTCTATGATCCATGGAGCAGGAAAGGAAAGGTTGAGGAATTAGACAAAAAAGAATTGAATAGAACCTTAGATCCAATACCTGTATGAGCCATAGAAGCATTAGGAAAGTCAGATGAGGTAAAATTGGATTTCAGTAGCATAAGAAGATGCTCCATTTGTTCTTTGGTGAAAAGGCCAGCATCAACTTCATTAGCAGTAGGAACTCCTCATCCAGACTTCTCTCCTCCTTTGTTTATCCAATTTGGAGGTTTTCCGTGCAGTTTCCAGCATGTGTCACGAGTGTGACGAGGCTTATTACAATAGTCACACCAGACCTGTGATTTTTCACTGGATTTTTCTCCTGTTCTACGCTGATAAGTTGATGTTTTAAAGGATGAGGCAACCTCTAAAGCCGATCCTTCAACAGCAATTCCAGGACCTTTCTTTCCCAGCATTACATTTCTTCTGCTTTCCTCCCTTCTAACCTCTGAGAATACCTCACCAATTGAAGGAAGAGGCTGTCTCCCAATAATTCTCCCTCTAACTTCATCAAATTCAACGTTTAGCCCTGCCAGAAATTTAAAGATTCGGCTGTCTTCAACAGTTTTCTTATGATGCTGAAAATCCTCTGTTGATTTCCACTCATAGCTGTTGAAGAGATCCAAATCCTGCCATATTCGCTTAAGCAAATTGAAATATTTTGTGACAGTGTCTTCCCCTTGACGTAGATCTCCAATTTTGAGAGTCAACTCGAAAATTAGGGACTGATTTCCCAAATCAGAGTACATCTGATTGATATTTTCCCATAACTCTTGTGCCGTTGAATAGCACATGTAGTTAGAACTGATATCTTCCTCCATTGAGTTTACAAGCCATGTCATAACCATGGAGTTTTCCGCGTCCCATGTTGCGTAAGCAAGATCCGTGCATATTGGAGCCTTTGTTTCACCAGTTAAATACCCCATCTTGCCACGACCTCTGATATACATCCGGACTGCTTGTGACCATCGGAGAAAATTATCTCCATTCAGCTGAATGGTAGTAATCTGAATTGAGTGAGAATCAACCCCAGTTTTCAAGGATTCGATTCTGTTTTTGGATGAAGAGACAGTAGTTGGAGGATTAATGGTAGAGTCTGATGATGTTTCAGACATGATGAAGAGGCAGGGGACAATGTGAAAAAACAAGAAGCAGGAAAAATCAGGCAAACCTAGCTCTGAGACCAACTTGAAAATAATGAATGAGGGGAATAATTATTTCATTGATCCAAAAGAATATATACAACAGGTTTCAGCCTATATTAGGAAACTATACACAATTATATCCTTAATCCTAGGAATAAGATTTTACACTAATTTAGCTCCTCTACAGCTAATTTACAGTTATAGTTATATAGAATTTCTCTCCACTAATCTCTCCTAATTTACACGGTTTTATTACTCAATAGTCTACTTCCCAAAAAATACAGATTTTCCCACAATATCCAAGCTAGATATCTTCATATCAAACTCACAAGTCCATATTAAAGCTAGAAACTCTCAACTTAAGGCTGAAAATATCAATCAAAGCTGAAAATTAACCCTAAAGCTGGAAATTCGAATATAGGAGCTAGATAACCTCATACGAAAGCTAAAATTTCATATCCAACCTCATATCAAAACTAAACCGTTCATATCAAGGCTGAACAATACATTTCAAAGCTGAAAATTGCAACCTACTAAGCAAAATCATGAAATCTTCCATAAAACTTCTATATTCAAGTCATCTATCCAATAAAATGCAAGATAAGAAAGAGAAGAAAGTTGGTTAGTTTCATACCTTCAAACCCATATAGGAAAATGCAAGACAAAGGTTGCCTATCCAAAATCACTCCACCTCATGCTTCCTTGTCACCTTGTTGCACCTTTCTATGGATTGATTTAGGGTTTTAGGTTGATTTCTCTCCAAAGCAAGCAAGAATCAAGATAAAAAATTAAAGGCTTTCCTCTCTTTTTTTCTCTCTCTATTTTAGCCAAGGAAGAAGGAGAATGAAGGGATTTTGCTGAAAATTACAAGATAAAAACTAGAGAAGTCTTTGGTCAAAGTTGGCTTGATGACCAACACTTGTCATCCACCCATTTTTCCCCCCTCTTTCTTTCCTTTTTTTTTCCCTCTCTCTTTTCTTTCTCTAAATTAGGCCAAAACCCTAGAAATGCAAGGGAGAAATAATAAAAAGGAAAGTAAGGAAATTAATGAAGGAAAGGTCTTGAACAAATAGTGTTTTCAATCGGTGACAAGTGGCGCGAGTTGGTTCAAATCTATCTATTTGTTTTCTCTTATTTTGTAACTTATGTTTCACTAATTCACTCTGACACTTCCAATCACATACTCTCTTTAGTACCACACTTGTTCTTGTCCACCAAATATAACGCACACATCTCACTCGTCGGTCAAACTACCTTAATGTACTATGGAACTTAGCATGCACTAAAATATAAAAAGGGGAATGATAAAAATCTTAACTTAACCTTTAAATTACTGTCAAATTAAGGCTAGCAAATAAGCAAGTAAAGTAAAATTAAAAGGAAATATAAATTAATTTTTCAAAAATAGGAGAAAATTTTAAAAAAAATTTCGGGTCCTCACATAATATATCTCTATTTAATTTCACCTAAACATATGCACGGGTTTAAATCTAATAATTTTATTTTAAACCCATATATATATATTTATTTGATTTCACCATGTGAATTTATTCAATATTTGTGGCCTTTTCTCTTTTAATAATAATTCATTTATTGCATTATGCAATAAGGTCATCTAATTAATCGATTTTAATTCAAATTCTATAGCCATGCTAATAAATTGCAGTTTAAATATGAAGTTTCTACTTGTCACCTTTAAGACTAATAGTTGAATTTCTTGCCTTGTCATTATTTTAAAATTTGAAAGTATCAATCAGTTACTTGTTTTTGTCATACTTTTTCTTTGTTTATTTTTTCTATCCAAATTTAATTCAATATAAATACTTGATAATATTTAGGATTAAATGTCTTTTTTATTTTCAATTTTCAAGTAAAAAAAATTGAACATGAGTGAAAAACTAACAAAATTTTGTAAATCTATATATATATATTTAATTTCACCTGAACAATACTATTTGTATTACCTTCAGGCGAAATCAAATAGAAATATATTACATGTTATTTGTATTGTTTAGATGAAATTAAATAGATATATACATGAGTTTGAAAAAAACTTTATTTATACACATGATCAATGCGAAATGAAAAAATTATTTTGCAAAATGCGAGGACGAAAAAATTTATTTTGTGAAATTTGAGGGATGAAACAATTCATTTGTGAAATGTGAGGGACGAAAAAATTTATTTTGTAAAATGTAAGGGACTATGGATCAGATTATGCAAATTTTGATTTAACAATTTTATTCTTAAAAAATGATTACGTACAAGGCACTTGATGGATTTTGATAAAAAATTAGTTGAAAACTTAGGTAGGGACGAAATTTGACCAATGCGAATTTGTAAGAATTGTAAAAGTACACTTTTAAAAGTAAGGGACAAAAAAAGTTATTTGTAAAATATGAGGGACGTTTTGAATGATTTTCCTATTAATAATTCACTAAAATTATATATCATATTTCTAAAATATAAGTCTATTGTTATTTATTTTTTCTTAAAATTTAAATCTACCTAAATGTCATTAAAGACATTAATAGAATTAAATGATATCAGTTACATATGTACATTGAAGACATTAATAGAATTAAATTATACTTACAAATCAAGTAGATATGGATTGGTTCATATCGTTTAGATTTATAATCTCTTTTTTTTAATAGAATACTTCATATTTTTATAAAATAAATTTTAGTTGATTAAATAAGTGTTTCTTTGAATTATAAGCACACCCATCAAATTGTTAATTTATAGATTAATCAATACCTACCTTTTTAAATTAATAGAATTTGTATGTTTCCAAGATTATTAAGTTATTGATGGGTTGATGGGACACTTATCTAAAAGAAAGTTTTCAACTTGAAAGGGTTAATTATGACCTTGGTGTATTGTTACTATTCATTTATAAGTCACTCTAATGGATGCTCATTGGACACTCATTAAAATATATTTTATGTGTTATATTTTTTAAAATATAAGTTTAATTAAGGAAAGTATATACATACAAGGAAAAATTATGTAAGATTAAATAGGAAAAGTATATAAATCCAATAGATGATAATAATTATTAGTATGTGTATATTCATAGTAGGTTAAGTTAGATGAATTGAAAGTGTGTTAAAGAGTGTCCAACCATTAGAAAAATTCTTTATTTACTCCTATTATCATATTTGTTTACTATTATTACTACTTCCTTTTTCGTTTTGTTGTTGTGGGCTCTAATTTTGTTACTATTTTTTTTTTGTTGGCTCTAATTAGGCAACTATTATGGTTACATTTTTTTTTCTTTTTAAGTGTAAGTGGAAGGTCTTGGTAACTCTCACTTACACTCCCTTCATACTACCAAGTACCACCCAACCCATCCATCTCTCCAATTATTATGGTTACTTATTATTTATGACTTCCTTGTTTTTTGTTGGCTTTAATTAGTACTAGTGATTGAGGTACATTTGTTGTTGTGTGTGCACTTTGCGAAACATACATGCTCTAAAAAACATGAACAACATGTAAACATGAAAAGAGAAAAAAGCATAAAAGTTTGTAAAAGGAAAACAAATAAATAGGATTATTCAAGTAAAATAAAATCATGATTATTTATCAATGGTGAATGAAGAAGTGCTGTAACAGACATATTGTAGTTTTATAATGTTTCAAATACCATTAGATAAATATGGGGTTTAGATAAATATGGAGAAATTAAATCAGAGCAACTTCTTTCTCATGAACGTGGTAAAAGGAACATGCATGGATGTAGGAAAAGGAACATGTGATTTTAAATTTTTAATCGTAACTATATCATATGACCATTTTACCCTTAATAATAAGGATAAAATTGACAATTGAAAAAAGGGTAAAATACATAAAACCCCCTGTAGTAAAGGAAATTGACACACAACTTCCTCATTGTTTAGAAACACCCACTTAACCTCCCTGTGCTTTAGACTTCTTAGGATCTTACCTGCTAACTGGTAGGGAAGCTAGTGAGTGATATTGACGCGATCTAATGGTCACTTATGACTAGAAGAAACTCGTTTTCATTCCAATTTTGCCCTTCATGTCTCTTACAAATGAAACCCACCATAGTTGTAGTCCTGCAAATGGAAAAAATGGATAGAGAAATACAAAACTAAGACAAAAAAAGTTCAGAGTTTGAAAAAAACGCAAGGCTGAATTGGCAAATTTTGAGCACACCAAGTTTGGACTTTGCACAAAAAAAAAAGAAAAAAAGAAATGGTGTTAGCAAGCTCCAGATTGAAGTAGTGATTGCTAGAATGGCGGCAGCAACTGTAAGGAAAGAACAACAACTGACTAACTACTTTACCTACCTCTTAAAATATTTCTCCTTTCTTCATCCAAATGGCGGTAATATTGTACTAACCAGAATTACTACCGGTGAAGTAGATTAACAAAATCTTCCGGATACAAGTGGAGAACAATCAGTGGCCAGCTGATTTATAAAATGAATGAACAAGGCAAGACGAAGAAGAGACAAACTTAAGAGGAAATTTACAGTAGTTGTGGTATCAAAGGAGGAAGAAGAGAGAGAAAAAAAAACTAGAGAGTTCTCTCCTCTGCCTACGCCCAAGAGAGTCCCAGTGGCCACTGCAGTGGCCCCCTACCACCACCAAAACAAGAGTAAAGAGACAGACCAATCAGTAGCCCAGCGGGCGGCAGCAAAGAAAGAGGAAAGGGTTGCAGACAGACAACAATCAGGTTGCTCCGATAGTTGCTCCAATAGTCCCTCTTGCCTCCCACCCATGGCTGAAAGAAGAAGAAGCAGCGGCAGCAGCAATGAATCATCATCATCATCAGGTGCAGCAGCAGCGAAAGTGTGCAGAATACCGAATGACCACCTCTTCTCCATCTTGTTACGTCTTCCAATAGACTCAATCCTCTGCTTTGGTATGACTTGCAGAAGATTGAGGTCTCTTACTCACTCTGACGCTCTCTGGGAATCCATCTGCAGGCGTGACTGGGGTTCAAAATATCCCAATTTTTTTCAAATAATACTTCTTTTACCAAGTTTCAAAATATCTCCAACAATTTACTACAAAACACCTACCATCAAACAAATCAACTCCTCTGAAATTAAGGGTTCAAATATGAGATTACCTAGTTAATAGCTATGCTCGATTCGTTGCAACCCTCACCGATATGCACAGAAACGCCAATCGATCTTCACTATAACTCAGACCGATCTGTATAGAAACACCTCTTTTTTTTGGTTGTAGATTTAGGGTTTCTCTCTCTACACATGAAGTACCCTCAAGATTTACTAATTGCATCTGTACCTTTTCAGATATTATAAATGAGGGTATTTTTGATATTTCATAGTGTTACCGGCTTCCCAGCCAGTTAGCAGGTAAAATCCTAAGAAGTCCAAAGCACTGAGAGGTTAAGCGGGTGTTTCTAAACAATGAGGAAGTTTCGTGTCAATTTTCTTAACCACAAGGAGGTTTTATGTATTTTACCCTTCAAAAAATGACATTTTTATTAACACCAAATCCTGCTCTGACTTTATATGTAGGAAAAAATGGTTAGTAAACATCTGTATTATATCCATATAATACATGTTCATATGTATCATTTAAAAAAAACTTTTATATTTTGTACATTTAAAAAATACTCATACATTTCAATTACTTGTGTTTCAAACGTAACGAACTTTTAGCGTATTATACTTCATGAATTATATTTTAATTTTTTAAAAATATTTTAAAATTTGAATAGGAATAATGATATACTTTTTAAGTTATATATAAAATAAAGACAATGCATATCATAACAGCTATAAATTTATACATATTTAAGTAATAATATGATAAAATTTTAATAAATTTAACGTCTCATATATAAGAGTAAGTTTAAAATTGATATAAATGTAGCATAATCTTTAAAAATTAAAGTAAATTTATTCATAGTTTTAGTTGCGTAATTTTCAAATATGTTTCGAGCTATTGACTTACAAATTTAATTTATGTGCATACCTTTTTTCTGAATACATACCTTTTTTTTTTTTTGCCCACTTTTGCGCGAACTTTTGATTCTATACGTATAATAAATATGACCTGTTGTCAGCAAAGAAAATTCCCTGCTTTCCGTCCTCCCTCCTGAATCACCAACGGCGGCCGGCGGCGGCGGCTTTTTCCCCTCTCCGAACCAAGCTATCGTTGCTTCTTTTCTATATTTAAAGTTTAAACCCGCACATGGCTTCTTCTTCCTCCCTGTGTTGTCGTTTTCTTTGTCAGCCCAACACCAACTCCTCCTCTTCAAATCTCTCTCCTTCCTTCACTCCAAAGCCGCCTTCTGCATCTCTGTCTTTCAGCAGATGTTCGACCAGAGCTCTTCCGTCCTCTAACTCCGCTACCTCTCTCATCGTTGATGAGCCCGACCCTGTTTTCTCCTCCGTCAAATCATTCGCCCCCGCCACCGTCGCTAACCTCGGCCCCGGCTTCGACTTTCTCGGCTGTGCTGTCGACGGCGTTGGTGACTTCGTCACCCTCCGCGTAGACTCCGATGTCCGTCCCGGCCACGTTTCTATTTCCGACATCTCCGGCTCCCCAGGTGCCAGCAAGCTCACCAAAAATCCTCTCTTTAATTGCGCCGGCATCGCTGCCATTGCTGTCATGAAGATGCTCCGTGTTCGCTCTGTTGGACTCTCTCTCTCCCTCGACAAGGGCTTGCCTCTAGGTAGTGGCCTCGGCTCCAGCGCCGCCAGTGCTGCTGCAGCTGCAGTTGCCGTAAACGAGTTGTTCGGAGCCCCATTATCGGTTTCGGACCTCGTGTTGGCCGGACTGGAATCTGAGTCCAAGGTATCTGGTTACCACGCGGATAATGTGGCCCCGGCGATCATGGGGGGCTTCGTCTTGATTCGCAGCTACGATCCCCTGGAACTCATCCAGCTCAAGTTCCCGGGAAATGCCGAATTGTTTTTTGTGCTGGTGAACCCGGAATTTGAAGCTCCCACGAAGAAGATGAGGGCGGCATTGCCACCAGAGATAACCATGTCTCACCACATCTGGAATTCCAGTCAGGCTGGCGCACTGGTAGCGTCAGTCTTGCAGGGAGACTTGAGGGGTTTAGGGAAGGCTTTGTCATCCGATAAAATAGTGGAGCCGAGGAGGGCACCCCTGATACCGGGAATGGAATCTGTCAAGGCCGCAGCACTTGAGGCAGGAGCATTTGGCTGCACCATCAGTGGAGCTGGTCCCACTGCTGTTGCGGTGACAGATAATGAGGAAAAAGGCAGAGAGATTGGAGAGAGAATGGTGGAAGTATTTATGAAGGCAGGTGATTTGAAGGCTGTGGCAATGGTAAAGAGGCTTGACCGTGTGGGTGCTAGGCTTGTTCACAGCACGCCATGACACCATTGACTTTGATGAATTCTTCTGGTCTGACCAAAAAATTGGCAGGCTGGTGGAAAGGAAAGTAATGTATCCGGAGGCTCCGGTGTTCTTCCTTTGAACTGCTAATAGCGTATTTTCAGCTATTTTTCAGATATCATTTACTCTTGACTCTTAGTGTTGTTGTGCCCTAGAATAAGTATGAGAAAGAAATTAGTGTCTTTTTGGCTCTCCTTTAGTTGTTGCATGCTATTGAATGTCTTATTGATATGTTTCCAATAGTATTTCCTAGTGTTTGATCATGATTCATTGTAGTGCATTATATTTTTCATCTCCGTCTTTTAAATTTTTAGTTTGATCATGAATGGCTTATTTTAGTTTGTTCTACTTTGTTTGATTTCCCACTTGGGAAAGGCAAGGTATAATAGTAGATAACCTGTCAAGAATTTGGATAGTGTTGTTGTGCATATCAGAAAGTTTGATTCTTTGCTAATCTGTTATCCTTCATGAACACAATGAAGCAAATTCCTCGATCCAAAAATGCTTCTTTGCTAAACTATCTTATGTTTATAGAGAAGTGTTTTCAATTGTCCTTATAGAAATGAAGCTAAAATCCCACTCTATGAATTGTGAAACAGCCACCACCCAGACAAAAATTTTCTTAATTAAAACTGAACAATGTGCTGGTTTTTAGATAATAGAGAAAATTTTAAATTTGTGATGGTCCATGTTATAGTTTTTCCCAGTGGTAAAACATCACAACTTCTATACTATTCCACCCATCGTCTTTGCTGTTAAAATCAAGAGTAGCAGCTGCTGTTGTTATTGCTTGTGATTTTCCTGACTACTTGGAAAGGACTATCAAAAATTTTCTGAAAGACATTGGGGTTCCTTGCATTTTCCTAGTGCTCCGTTTAGCTGAGATTTTCTGGCTTTCTTTGATGTTTGAACTTTTTGTAGTTGCCATTAGTAATTTTGTTTGTGTGTGTGTATTTTTTTTTTTGGTTGTCTTCAGTGTAAGAAAGAGGATTTTTTTGGGTGTTCCTGAAATGAGCAATTTGTTACTATTTTTTGTTATTGAATTTTAAGAATAGTCTTGAAATTAATTTTCTTTGGAACTGGTTTGCTTGATTACCTGCAATCTATTGCTTCACATGGATATGGTTATGTTTACACTATAAAGATCTCTGGATGCTGATTGAAACACAGCAAGATTGCAAATTAGGTAGGTTTGCTGTTTTCTTCTAACAAAATTTAAGGACATTATTTGCTCACCTTTAGTCTTGGTCGTTCGAGCTGGCGTTGGATAAAAAATTTTACGAGCATAGTTTCAGCAGAGACATCGTACTTGATGGTCTAATTTTTGTTTTGAGTACTACTGCTGTCTTCTCTTGCTTTTATTGAGTGGCGGTTCCTATGAGATGGAAATTGCCCCAGATTTTGAAAACCATTATGAAGCTAGGGCCTAGCTTCTTGAAAGTGCTAAGTGTGTTCTTTTGAAGGAAGTCAAGATCATTTAACTCTTCATCTGCTTCAAACCACTTGATCAATTGTGCTGTAGTATCTCCGTTGAATTACAATGGACACAAGGGGTTTTTGCAAGATCCTTGTAATATTCTTACTTTCTTTCTTTCTTTTGCTGACCATTACAAAATCTGAATAATGTATTTATTTATAAACTGCATAATCGTAAAAATGGTAGTAACTATGTCAGCAATCTTCTGGTATATGCTGGTTTCTACCGAATGATTAACAAGATTTCACTTTAAAACTTCTGTTATTCTTCTATAGTAATAGTCCGGAAATAATTTTTTGATTTTGCTTGTCTTCTGGCTACACTCTTAGCCGATGCTGTCCTCCATCCAGACCTTTTCCCATTGGATGGGTGCTCACTAAATGTAGAGGAGATGAATGTCCTCCGAGGTGGCCAATGGCATGTCCTTATGGATGCCTTAGACTCGTAGATGGGATTCATTTAGACATAGATCAACATTGTTTGGTTGGCTTTCATTTTATCTTTAGATCGGTATACAAGTTTGTGGTGGCATCTTCTGTCATTTGCTTACCAAAGGTCACTTGTATCATTGGGATTGAGTGAGGAGAATAACAAACACCCAGTTTGATCAAGCACTGGAACAAAATATTTCGGTAAGCAGGCATGTATTTGTCTCAGCTGCTAGAATCCAGATAGCCAGGTAACAGTCAAGAAGCCAGAGCCATACATACCTAGCTGCATGTACTTTGGCTTTCATTTGAACATCTTATCCATTATCTCTTTTTCTTCACTCTCGAGCTTAGAATTCTTTTCTCTTAGGTATCCAGGTATACACTCCACCCTGGAGAAGCTACTATTCTTCCAAATTTTGTTCTCTCAAGTTTATAGATTGCATTTTTCCTCGTGCAGTTGTTTATAAAATGTTCATATCTCATAGCACGAGGATAAATCAGGACTTTACTAATTCCAAGAACTAGAGGATATCTAACTTTGTATGTTCATACGAAAGTGTGTGCAATTTTTCTTACAGAAACAAAGCAAAAGTCACACCCTCTATACCATAATGTTGGCAGTCTTCATGTTCGTGTGAGGTCTCTTTTAAGTGATTTGCAAGATCTATGGCATTTTACATTCAAGCGTTGACGATCCTGTATAATGGTAACCGGATATTTTGTAATTTTGCTCGTCTTCTGGATTTGCTCTCTGCAGATGCCCTCTTGCTGGCCACATTTTTCAAGGGTTTGGATAGAAGCTTGCTAAATGTGCTAGGGATGTACTGCCTCCAAAGTAGCCGAAGGCATATCCTTATGGAACCGTGCTTTCAACTCGCTCACATGATTCACTTAGATTGATATTATTCTGTCTATTCTGGTTTCATGTGTAGATCATGTAAAAGTTTGTGGTGCCATCTATTTAGCATCTTATCAACCAAACGGTCACTTATCAGTCTGATAAAGATTAAAGGAGAACAACAAAAGACTAGTTTGATCAACCAGTGGTGTCTAGAACCAATTATTTTGGTGAGCAATCTCTGGGATTGGGGTCGTGAGAGCTAGAAAGCCAGATGCACCTAGCTGCTTGTATATTGGCCTTCACAACATTCTTATCTATCATCTCTTTTACTTTACTCTCTGGCTTAGAATTCCTTTTTTTTTTTTTTTCTGTACTATCCAGATAGACTGGGCATGCTCTAGCCTGATGTTGATACTCCATACAAGTTAGAAGACAAAAAACATATCAGTGGTGAGATTGTGCCATCCGATGGTGGTGAAGTGCCACAGAAGAACAGTAGTAATTGGATGAGAATGTTAACGGAGTTGTTGCACTAACCATGATATTAAACAATGTAGCAGTATTCCTTCCCTCATTGGATGCATTGGTTTTTACTACTTTGTAGGCGATTAGAATGGCCAGATCAAATTGGGAGTATGGCGTTGGTTCAAAAAGGGGATAAAGATGAGGTCGTTGTGAAGACCAAATCCGCAGGGCGAGAATTTAGCTTGCAAACAAGAAGCAATAGAGGCTGAGCTTATCCTTTGTTTACCTTCGATGCTTAAGTTAGTAAGATAGTCAAGGAATAAAAGTAGTAGAGAGAGTGTTTGTGTGGGGGTATGGCTGTTACCTCAAACAAAAGGGAATTGTAGTTATATTTTTAGTTTGGAGAATCCATTTTAATTGTATCTGAAAAAGTGGATTTGACATGATTACCTTGCAGCTATCTACAAGTCTATGTCACCTTTCCAACTTATTAAGTCAGGATGCTAATATGCAGGTAAAATTAGTCATACTACGAGAATTGATCTGATTTTTGAACTCCTTGGAATCCGAGAGAGTGTATGTGTGGGGGTATTGTTGTTACCTCAAACAAAAGGGAATTGCGGTTATATTTTTAGTTTGGAAAATCCATTTTAATTGTACATAAAAAATTGGATTTGACATGATTACCTTGCGGCTATCTGCAATTCTATGTCACTTTTCTAACTTATCAAGTCAAGATGCTAATGTACAAGTCAAATTAGTAATACTACGAGAATTGATCCGATTTTTTAACTCCCTGGAATTCCAAAGGGTGTATGTTTGGATGTATTGTTGTTACCTCAAACAAAAGGGAATTGCGGTTGTATTTTTAGTTTGTAGAATCCATTTTAATTGTATCTGAAACAATGGATTTGACGTGATTACCTTCTGGTTATTTGTAATTTTATGTCGCTTTTCTAAGTTATTAAGTCATGATGCTAATATACAGGTTAAATTAATCATACTATGAGAATTGATTCAATTTTTGAACTCGGAACGAGAAAGAGTGTGTGTGGGGGGGGGGGGGGGGTTATTGTTGTTACGTCAAACAAAGGGAATTGCGATTGTATTTTTAGTTTGGAGAATCCATTTTAATTGTATTTGAAAAAATGGTTTTGACATGACTATAATGAGGCTATCTGCAATTCTATGTCACCTTCCTAACGTATTAAGTCAGGATGCTAATATACGAGCCAAATTAGTCATATTATAAGAAGTGATTCGATTTTTGAACTCTTTGAAATCCAGCTCAAAATCGGTTGTTTTACTTTTTCTAATTAAAAGAAATTCAACAAAGCAACTCACAAAAGGTGATAATTATAACAAAATATTAAGGCGTTGCAGGCTTGACTAATTGACGAGATTTTTTTGCCTGTCATTGAGATTGGTGAACTTGGTACTCAATGCATATAACAAGGAGTCTAATAGAATAGCAAAAGTGTTTCTGTATGTCGTGCATTCAACAGTGATAATACATGTATTATCAATATATATAAAATTTACTCACCTCTTAGTGCAATACTAAGGCATCTCTTAATGCAATAGTAACAGTTTACATATTCGAGCACTTGCGAGTGACCTCCATGAAGAGATATAAAAGATGTGAAATGTTGGTGGCTGTTAATTTGTTGCACATCAATCAATCAGCTTGTCAAGTGGGAAAGTGCTGAAATGTCTTTTCTCATCTGCGGGTAATGGGTTGACGCTAAAGACGATACAAAACTCCTACTGTTGTCCAAATTTTCTACATATAATCAAAGTATTCACATTCTCTTCGATAATCAAATAAAATTTGAAAAGTGGGGTTCGTAACGTATTGACAAGAATATTTATGATGTTAAAGTTTATTTTTTTTGTAATATTTTGATTACAAATTTATTGATTATTTGTTATTAATCATATTTGACAATAAATATGTAACTAAAAGGAGTAATTTGGATCTTATATTAAGTAAAAAATATAAAAGGGATAATTTCATAAACCTCCCTTGAGGTTTCTGACAATTTCACTCAGCTCTCCTCTAGTTTATAAAATTACATTTACCTCCTTTACCATAATAAAATACCTATAATACCCTCCACTTGGTAGACAATTTTAAATTTAAAACAATAACAAAACCCAAAAAAGAAATCTATTTTTCTATTTCTTGTCTATTTTCGCTCCTCTCTTTTCTAGTTATTATAATCTCTTTTTATTATCTTCAATTTTGTGGATATTAGTAAATTGAAATTACAAAATCAACAAAGGGAGCAGATTATGTATCAAATTAGAAGGAAATGAAGAGACTCGGAATGATAGAGAAATAAATAATGAAATTGATGATTGAAATAGGAAGAAGAACTAAAAATGTGGAATTTATCATATTTTGTTGGTTGTCAAGAAAAACTTTCATAAAATGTCAATAATTGTATAAGGATTTCTTTCATTGAATTAGAAATTTTTTATTATAATTTTATTGTGAAGGCAGAATTTATTCTCTACTTTTGAGATATTAATATTTTTAAAACCATCGGAGGGTTGTAATGGCGGTTCTAGATTATATTAAATTGTATTGAAAAGGTATTTGAGCATTGCTATTTAATTTTTGGGGTATGAAATTGGTTGTTAATGGAGTTTTGTGTGTGTGTGCATATGTGTGTTTTTTTCTTTTTTATCGTGACAAGTATTGATACTGTATATATAATTTGGGATCTTTTGGACAGTTACTTGGTTTTAGTACTTATGCTTGGATGGTTGTTAGGGATTACACTTGTTGATTTGTACAAAGTATGGAAAAAAAATGATTGAGTATACTATATATTTCTTTCTTAGTTTTGTATAAAAGGGCAATTTAGGATTTTTGTAAGAAAATCTATCTTATTGGACTTATGTCGTTACTAAATAGTAAAAGTAGGGGAGGTATATGTAATTTTTAAAACCTGAGGAGAGTTCTTTGTCATTATTAAAAACCTCAGGGGAGGTTTGTGAAATTATCCCACTATAAAATGATAGTATATTGTTTTTTTGGTGATACATGTGATTTGATCTTTAATGATAAGCAGCAAATTTTAGTATTTTTTTTTAATATACGGGTTGGTATTCAATTAATTAAATAATGTAGTATATGAGGGGCAATGATAAAATCATATTATTTTCTCTCTCTTAATATCACTTTTTAATTATTGATTGAATCTAAATGTTACAAGATAATTAATCTTGAGGGAAGTTAGTGTAATTTTTGAAATCTAGAGGGAGGCCAGTGAAATGGTTATAAACCTCAGGGGAGGTTTCTACAATTATCCCTTAATTCTTTTCATTACAATAGTAAGGAAGATTGCACTTTTTGCCTCGTGAGATTTCCAGCTTTTGCTTTTCTGCCCTTACCAAATGGATTTGTTTATTTATTTTTTCAACCTCGGAAGGAACCAATTAATGTTTAACTAAGTGAGTGGTTTAGGAATATATGCCATCTTTCTTGTTTCTTCATTTTTAATCAAAGAACAAAGAATATGACAATTCAAGAATAACCAAAAC